GAATGGACCTCAACTTGCAGCGAAAGGCTAGACTTTCTCGTAAGAACCCAATTCCCTGGGTGTACTATGGAACCTAAGGCAGTTACACCAGGTCAAAAAAACTATATTTCACAACACTCAATGGAGAGAATCGTTATTATTATTAAGACCTTTAGACTTTAAAAATCTCCAGGAAGAAGGTCGAATTTTATGCCAACTGCTTGCTAACATTTTCAAGGCATGCCTTAACGTTTGACACATTTCTAGAGAATGGGCCAAGGCGAGGGTTGTCTTCATATCTAAAGCAGTGTTGCCGTTGAGAATTTTCAAAAAGTCGCAAAGACGGGGTCATTGACGAAAAAAAGGGTCACCATATTATTTTTGCTTTTCTTTACAAGTAAAAGAATAAATCTATTGAATTTATAAAGAAAATAACGGGACCAGCTTTTCACAAAACAGGGTTGCAAACATACGAGAAGAGTTACATTTCCCATAAAAGTTTTAATTGATGCATTTTTTCGTACTTACAGGAGGAAATATTTTTTAATAGCTTGGTCCTGTTAACATTGTCTAATAATAATAATTTTGGAAAAGGGTAAAAAAATCTAAATTTTCAAAAAGTCGGCTCAAAGAGTATTGGCGCTTAAAAAGGGAAAAAATTTCCACTTTAGTCGCGCAACGGCAAAACTGGTCTAAATGAGCAAAGGTCTCTGATGTCAAACCCAATGACTTCAGCCCAATAAACCTAATCTCCTTTCCACTTAGAATTCTAGAAAAACTTCTCGACACCTATATTCTACAGCGCCATTTGACGGTGGATGTGTCGGAATGTCAACATGATTAGTCTAACGTAGAGATGGGGACGGGCCGGGCTTTTGGCCCCTGCGTAAGCCCGCAGGTACGGGCCGAAATATTTGCTGTCAGCACGAACTCGTGCGTGCATGGGCGTTCAGTAAAATTTCATAAAAGCACGAATAAGCACGAAAAAGACTGTTGCTAATACTACAAATTTAAATAAGCTTTTCTTTTTATACAAAAAAAATAGTACATATTAAAACTCTTTTGATAAGAGAAAAGCAAAAAAAGAAATATTTGTAAACCGATAGAAAAAATAAGATACTTAATACTTTTGTTTACATATCTGCACATAAAATACCTTCCACTTTTCCTACTTCCCAGAAAATATATTATAGAAATCGTTGATGTAAAAAATTGATTCGCTTAAGTAAATATACAAACATAAACACAAAATTAAAAATATGTACATATGTATACATACAATAAAAGTTGGCTCTTTATTTCCGGGCTGGAACGTGTCCCGTCGTGCCGGGGCGGGCCCCACTAAAATTCTTACGTGCGGGCTCGTGCGTGTTTTTGAAAGTTGATTTTGCACTCGTGCCGGGCCGGGCCTGAAAATTTAGGCCCGTGCCCATCTCTAGTCTAAAGGCAAATCTGTGGCCACTGCGCTACAGAAATTGTGTCCAAAATTTAAAAGGGACTTGCCTTTAATAAATTTACTTTAAGAATCTTAATTGACATAGAGGGCGCCTCACACAATATTGTTCGACCCATTCTTTTTTATGTGATCATAGTATGGTAGCCGGCTCTGGAAAAACCCACTTATAGAAGCATATTGGATAGGGTAAAAAGACTTACATCCATGTTAATCACGGGTACCATGCCCTCTAACCCCAGTAAAGCTCTCCAAACTGTATTAAATCATCTTCCTACCGACCTTTACGGTAGATATCAATCCAGTTGTAACGCGCCCAAATTTAATTGGACTTACACTAGGAGAGCCCTCAGGTTCCAAGGAGGGAAACTGACCTACGCTCAGTTAACGCCGCAGCTGAAATCTGTTTTCAAAAAATTTGCCAACGAACCATCGGCGTAGGAACCAACCCGTTCCGTTCTAAACATATCTGACTTAGAATTAATGAGGAAAGATCAAAACTCTTCTACGTACTGATTGTCCCATTATTAGCGCAGTAGTGGGTATCATAGAACACAGCGAACGGGCTACTCCGCTAACGATTTCTGTCATGGCTACAGGGACGAGGAGGAGATTAAGAGTGTAGAGCACTATTTCTGCCACTTCTCCGCTCTGGTAAGGTCAAGTTTTGTTGTTTTTAATAAATATCTCTTTCAGTGTTTAGCTGATCTCGATTGGGTAGACATCCGCGACCTTCAACGCTACGTTAAGGTAATACGCTGGTTTCACCACACGGGAAACTGAGGTAAAGAGCAAAGGGCACGCTAATAGTGGCAGCACAATTGGCCTAACTGACATAAGTGTGCCTCTCTGGCCGACTACCAGAGTATGGCAACTTAACTTAATGGAACGTAGAACTTAGAGAATCGAAATGAAACAGATTTCGACGTGGCATTAAGTTACGTTAAGTTTCGGCTGTTCAATTATAAGCAACACCCATTTAACAGAATTTTTAAGAGAGGGCCGTAAGTTACGTTAAGTTGCCATAATCAGACCATAAGAGTACCATCAAAGTCAGATTATGCATTCTCGCGATATGATGCATTCTCGCAGTTGGTTGCGGCTTCATGTTCTATAAACATTTATTTAAGCTTTTAAAGTTGCGACATACAACAATACGACACTTACGACAACGTTGTGAATCCCTCAATAGTATGTACATATTTATGGTTGATTTTTATATCTCGAAGTTATACTCACCTTCATCAGCAACCGCTGATCCACAGTCACAAATTCTTTTACTGCTATTTTCATAGGATCTTGTTGTATTTCCATTGCGAATTCGAATAGCAAGTCGTTATATAACTTTGCATTGGTATATTTATACTTACTATGTAGTAAACGTTGTATCAAAATACCCGTCTTAAGTGACTAATGAATTAATGAAAAAGAATATAGAAGTTAGTACATAAAAGCTGTGTTCAGAAATGCATCAAGGGAAAGCATCAGCCAGTTTTTTTTATCTCTAAACTATAATTGATGGAAATGTCCAATATGCGCAACCACAGTCAAGTGCCGAATTAGAACTTAGTTTGGTAAATAAGGCATTTCCATCAATTATAGTTTAGAAATAAAAGAGACTGATGCCTGGGGGCCGGATGCATTTCTGAACACAGGGCTATGTCTACTTGTTTTTGCAATACAAGTTTTCGCAACTCACCTGCCGCTTGCAGTTCTCACCCGCTTGGCATAAAAGCGTGGTAATAGCGATCAGCGGGAGCACAGTCGACGCTGTTAAGTAGAGGAAATAATATTCGAATACATTTGATAAAGTCAGAAAGATCCAATACGAATTAACGCAAATATCTAGAAAAATCACCGTAAACAATGCACAAACCGACCAACCGAATAAATCATCAAACATTAGCGTCAACTTGCGTATTTCGTCGAAAAGCAATTTTAATTGTAACAAATAATCGAAGGATTCCAACATTTTATAATTCACATCCAAACATAAACGCTGCTTGCTCACGCGACAGCTGGCCACTGAATGCAGCTTCATATTCAAATTTTGCATATAGAAATCAATATAGTCCAAATAGATAATGGCCAAAAGGCAGCGGGTACGCAAAACAAAAATACTGCCCAGTGCATACCAAAAGTATCCGTAGTAGTATTTAATCGAAATCACCACCATCGATATCGGAAGAGAGCCATAGGCGAAACCCGAATATAGCAAATATTTAATACGCTGCAGTCGCCGCAAACTCCAACGACATAGACCGGTTTGCAAGCGCTGCCTGAAGAGTCGTACAATGAGTTGGGATTGTTGCATGAATGCGAAATATTGCCTATAGGTGCACATCGCTTCCAACAAGCAAATGGTGAGTGCTAAACTTTGACTGAGAAAAACCATTACGCTGACAAAATTCGATACAAGCACTTCGTCGTCCAGCGGCTGGTTGTATACCCCATAGATGGTTAAAACCCAATTCGCCACAAGCAATGCTGATGTGTAGATGCGCTGCCATTGCTCATAATGTTGTTTGCAGTTGCGGTTGCGTTGGGCGTATGGCACCAGGCCAACGATGGCCAACCACTTGAATAACGGTTGCCATTCGTGCAACATGTTGGCGATGGCAGAGTGACTGCCGCTGGGAAAGTGGACGTGAAACATTTCAAGGATGTGGCAGGTGAAAATAGTTGTGTATCTGTAAACATTACCCACACACTTATCGATACAACAAATTAAACTATCGCACAGGAAAGTATCAGATAGCGTTCGTTCTTATTGATGTGCAGCACTTAGTTTAATTCGCCGAGTTAATGGTGTGTAAAAAGGTATAAGTACATACATATATGGTACATATGTATTCATTAATTAATGTATATACTCCATGCTTTATTATACACTCACATTCATGACTTAGGCATGTGTGGATGAATGATATTTAATTTAATAGCAAATTTAAAAAATTAGTTTTAAATTGCCATTGGTTTGAGTTCAAAAAAGTACCATATTGGGCGGCAGTGTGGGTGTGGGCAGTACTGTCGCCAACAGGAAATAAAGTGAAGTGCTTCCACTCTTTTTTGAAGTGTTCATAAAATTTTAAGTTTCTTCATTACATGTGTGTTCTTAGTTGTCGATAACAAAATCGGTATTATATCGATAAAAATATCGATAGATAAGAGTATCGATAAATATGTTCATAAATATATTAATAACAAAATCGATAAATATGTTCACAAATTTATCAATAAGAATATGGTTTCTTCATATCGATAAAAATAACGATAATCAAATCGATAAAAATCAATAAAAAAAATCAATAAAAAATCGATAGCAAAATCTATAAAAATATCGATAACAAAATCTATTAAAATGTCGTTAAAAGCATTGATTAAATTGTCGATAAAAAAATCGGTTATTATATCGATAGATAATGGTATCAATAAGTATGTTCTTAAATATATCAATAACAAAATCGATAAATATGTTCACAAATCTATCAATAACAAAATCTTTTTTTCATATCGATAAATATATCGATAAAAATGTCGATAACAATATCGATATTATACCCGTGTTTTAACGCTAACTATTTTTTATAGGTCCCCCCATTGCATTTTTCGAGGATTTTCCTCTTATTTGGCGCTATAACCGCCTAAGGATCTAAACATACTTAGTAGAGCGGCTAGCAAAGCGAAGAGCTGGCATCAAGCAAAGCTTCAATTGCAAAGCTTCTTCCTCCGCTACCGCCAGCGGATTCCGAGTTGAATACTTTCAGAGCTGGATCGTCGGTGTACATACGACATGGCCAAGCCAGCTGAGCGTCTGTATTTTAATTCGATGCACTATGTCCATAACGTTGTAAAGCTCGCCGCCCCGAATACTCCAAGAGCCGCGTTTATTATTTTTCGACGCATGTATGTATACAATTGATTGTTAGACAATTTTTTTTTCAATCAGCATATTGTATTTAGTTGCAATCACAATCTAATAAATAATTACCATAGGCAATAAGTATGTAGTATATGTGAGTCCCCATAAAAAAGTCACCGTCAAAAGTTCCCCTAATGTAGATATTTGCAAAAATTCACCAGAAAATCATATTTTTATTTTGAAGGACGATCTTTTGACATTTTTCTAGTAAAACTATAATACCGTCAATGTAAAACGTCTGGGATTTATGTGAAAAAATGAATCAAGTATTTATTACAATACGCATTTGAGGCCAACTTTACATCATCGAGGAAGCACCGCAAAGACCGAATGTAGTCGTATGGGGGAAGCTCTCTTAATTATTGCGGCAAAGCATTTCCGGTTAATTAAATCTGGCGGCTTATTTTTAGTCATCTGCCACAGCCGCAGCAAGAAAGAATCGATTCAATGGCCAGGTTTGAGAAGTTTCTGATTAAAAAAGAAATTATTTACAGTACCAGAAAGCACTGACCCCTAACTAACTTGTCGTGAATAGCATTTTTAACTGTTTGCGCAAATTCCCCAAGCTATATGAGGTGATCCACTTTAAAACGCACCGACCTTATCGCTTCTTTTCATCAGCGATTTACTTGTGGAAACTTCTTATTCTTTTTTAGGGCAACAACTATTTTTCCGTTTAGGTGAAGACTAAAAATCTTTGCGAATTCCCGCGCTCTTTTGGAAAGTTCTGCCAGTTATTATTTGGCTGGGTCTTCGACACTTGGTGTTTCCATTGTGTTCACAGGCTCACTTGCTTTCTCTGCCCACCCACGAGCGACGAATCGGCGGATCTTTGCAACGTCATCATCTATGCGTACCACCTGCCCAAGTCATGTTGGTATCAGTGATGCCAGATTGTGGGTAATTTCCCTATTTGAGGGATATTTTGCTTCAAAAATTATTAAAAGGGAAAAAAAGGGACACTTCATATAAATAAGGGATTTTCTTTTGACGCAGTTATTGTTGCATAATTGATCAAAATTCAAGAATATTCGACATTCTTACGTAATTAATCGTTCGGAAGATGTGATTTGGAGTGAAATGGTATATAATTGTTAAAAAGTATAAGGACAATTTCGAAAATTTTCTTACGTTAACCAATTCAAGCGATGAGTAAGAAAGAATCTTTTCAGTTGTAACTGGTGTTTCATGTAAAAAGCGGAACAAATTATCTGATGAAATGTTAAATAGCACTTGAATGTGCTTCAGTTTTAAAGTCACCAAAAAATTCTTTTAGGCCCTTAGTGAGTGAGCAAAAAAATGAAAGGGAAAAAATGAATGAGTGAAAAAAATGCAGAAAAAGGGATTTTTTCTTAACAGCGGTCGGCCCTCGACAGGCAATGGCAAACCTCCGAGTGTATTCCTGCCATGAAAAACAGCTTCTCATAAAAATACACTCGCCATTCGGAGTTGGCGTAAAACTGTAGGTCCCTCCCCTTTGTGTGACAACATCAAGGGGACCGCCACAAATTGGAGAAAAAGCACATATGTGTAAGCGTCAAACTATTATTATTATTTTATATGAATTTTACTTCTTTACTACTGAAACATGTATATGTTTAAATTCGTTGGGAATTTTGTGGGATAAATTTTCAAGATGTGGGTAATTGAGGGATTTTTTCCCCATTTCCGTGGGATATTTAACAGAGAATGTCTGGCATCACTGGTTGGTATAGAGCTCACACAGTTCCTTATTCCATTTTCTTCGGAACCCGCCGCCTACGCGAACAAGGCTATAAATATTGCGTAGCATACTTCTCTCGAAAGCCCTCAAAGCTGTCTCATCTTTGTTTGGCATCGTTCTCTGTGCCCTTATTAGGCCCCTAATGTACTTTGCTTTTTATTAGTCTATCAAGTCCAAAATGGTAGTTATTGGCATGAATGATCCTTCGCTTGATCTCCAGACTGACGTTATTGGTGGTGTTAATGCTGCATCCCGGAAAGACGAAGCCTTTCACCACTTCAAGCCTTTTCACTTCTTTTTTTTGTTGCCAGAAGATACTTTTAGTCTAATTTAAGTTCCCAGCTAGGCCAAACCTCCCTGTCCTCTTTTTCTTAGCTGGAAAAAGTTGCGCTTAAATCAGTGGCATGTTTCAATCGTCTTTTCTACAAACTATTATATGGAATGACTTAAAAGGTATTTTTCAATTTAGAAGTATCTATTAGCTGTGCTCCACGCCACTCTACGTAACCAATTAAATGTTGGCTTCTCTTCGTACATACTATCGAAAGTGGCTTTATAATCGACGAAAAGGTGGAGTGTTTCGAGTGGCTTATCTAAGGTATCTTACGTGTGAGGAGTATATATATTTTTTTTTTTTTGTTTTATATTTAAGTAAAAAATCTCTTTTAATTAGTTATGAGAGAAAAAAACATTCGCGAATGTCTAAACAAATTTAAACGCTTTCTGAAAACAAATTTCAAACGAAAGGGGACTTAAACAATCGAAGTACGTATTAAAAACATCTCGAAATCTCTTATCATTAAAATCACTACGGAAACAGTGTGTATGCACGTATATTAGGGTGCATCACCACAAAACGTTGACATTTTTTCCACCAGAATTATAAAATTTATAATACGTGTTTTTTCGTATTCGCCAATATATTTCACTGGCAAAGTCTACAGTAGGTGTCCAAATTTTCCAAAAAAAATCCGGGCAGCCATTCTTAAAGTTTGCGAACAAAAAACAAATACTTTCAAAATATATGTATGTATATTAGTATAGATCATTCGCCTAGCAACGAAATATTTGAATATTGTCCAAAATATTCATAAGTAAGTATATAGATTTTAATAATTATTTAGTCATCTTTCAACCAAATCAAATATTTCGTTGTTTACTTCCATTTTTTACCAAATGTAAGATTCTTTGCTTTCACCGCGTTCTGTTTTTTTTAACAAATGCAACCTTGCACATGGATTGATACTTTTCATGAATTTGCAGGAAGAAAAACTCCGGACTAAATCCTTCAACTTCAGATTTTGAAGAATTGCTTACTTACTCTCTCAGAAGTGTTCAGGTTTTTTGTCTATAGGAACGACTTCCTGTAAGTTCTGACTAAATCCTGTAAACCGAACTCGCATTGCAACAGACTAATAGCTCAGTTATGCATACTTGGCGTTGAATGAGAGTTGTCACATCAAGGAATCTGTTGAATGAGCTTTGCATGTAAGCGGTTACCCAACGCGTAGCATTTCACATGTAGAATCCTGTTGGGTATTGATTTTTACGTAAAATTGGTATAGCAGTGCAAAGTATGTATAACTGGGCTGTAATACAGAAAACTCTATTGTAAAATCGTGACGTCTCAGCTTTCTTCAGCAACAACAAAAAGTACAGAATTTGTTTAGCGAAAAACTTTTCACACAGAAATTTCAAAAAAGGACTTGTCAAAGAATCGAAATCGGTTCAGCTGTTTAGTCAGGCATGGCGGTCATACGAAAGACACTAATTTCTATTTTTACCTACACATATTCATGACAGATGAGAGAACCAAGATTTACAAAGATTTACAAAACTTTACTAAATTTTTCATTATGTTTTTATTAGGAAATGATGGAAAGTAATTACAATCAACCAAAATACAAATGTAAAGTGCATGTTAAAATAATATCACCATTGATTTGTGTCCATTTAATTTCATTGAGCATAAGTATTAAATTAATTTTGTGTTTTTTGTAAAAGAATAGGACAGTCTCTAGCAAAACTCATAAAAACCAAAATTCTAAACTTTGTGGAAAATTTAAAAAACTTCTCAAAATTTTCATTACATTTTGAAACATTTAGAACGAACAAATAATAATAACAATTTTCAATGCATTTAGAAATCTAGAAGAAAATGGTTCCCAATCGAATGATGATTACCCCCTTTCCAATAACTACCAATTTTCGCTTTAAGTACTTTATTGACAAAATATGTAGATGTGCCAAAATTTAGGACTTTATTATAAGCGGTTCCAGAGATAAGCGATGAGAAGTTCAGTTTGTAACGGAGGTCCTACACGCCCTTTTCCAATACCTGGCACTTTTCACCACAAGTACGCTCCTGATGACATATTCAGCTGTTTCAGATTTCAAGCTGTTAGCATAAGCGGTTCCAGAGATAGGCGATATGAGAAGTTCAGTCTGTATGGGAGGTGCCACGTACCCTTTTCAAATGTCTACGTACCAATTTTCGCCATAAGTAGGGTATTTACAATTTATGCAGCCGTGCCAAGTTTCAGTTCCCGGCGTAGTTGGTTTAGAAGATACATTGATGCATTCAAAAAAAAGCGTTTCAACTTTTTATTGTGACGTATGTATACGTAAAGAGTAATGTGGCTACTCTGAACTTTTCACAAAAGCTCTGGCAACCTTTCAAGCTAGCAAACTCCTTTTCATCTATTTTCATCTATCTTCATTTTTGACATTCTTAATTGCTTTGCGTTTTTTCCTTCTTTTCTGGAGGGCATCCTAAGCGATAACACGTAATTTTTGTAAAAGTCTAAAATATAGCTGATTTTAAATCAGTAAATATTCAAACAATCAGCTAAGATTAGTACTATTTATTTCTGTGAAATAAATATGCTAAATACATACCTATGTGTGGTTATCCATCATTCTCCCACTGTATAAGAATGTTAGGAATAACTTCGGCTACAATGCCACCTATCTAGCAAGCTTTTACGCCCAAATATTTATTTTTAATTGGTTAACATATGTTCTAGACATGAGCCAAATCGGTAACTAAAATGCAGTTTTTTGGAATATCCAGACCCCAGCGCCACCTAGCGATTAAGTTTTTAATCAGAATATTTCTCATTTGATACCAAATTTTTTTTAAATTTTATTTGGAAAGGACTTTTATTTCGATGTATTATGGAACGAATTTCCGTCATCCCTTGTCAAATTTGGTTTGGAGACAAACCGGTTTCGGCGTATTTCGGCCTTAAAAAAATATTTGGCCAAATTTAACTGTTAAAAAAATTACTGTTATTTTCGGTCCCTGATTTTGTATGGTTACAGGATGTTTAAAACTTTGTGCAATATTTAAAAAAATTCAACAAACTCTCGTAAAAATTTCGAACTTTTTAATTCGATTTTCTAGAACCATTTTGAGTATGCAGCTTTGTAGCCCACTCAATTGTAGTATAAAAAAGTGCAAGTTTTAAGTGCCTAAAAATTTTCATTTTAGATTTTCTTTTTGCCGATGTTGCAATTTTCTTCCGTATAAAATAAATTTTGTACATTCGTTATATAAAAGCAAATGCGACAAAAAAAAATTCTAAAAAATCAAAGGTAATTTTTAGCCATTTGAAACTTTATTATATTAGAATTGACCGAGCTACAAAACTGCATACAGCTCATTCCACGGTGACGGGTGTGACATTTTCACTTACAATTTTTTTACACCGAATTCCTCACAAAAACCAGTTCATACCCCGCTTCCTTATGTAAAATGTAAAAAAACGGTCCATTCCCCGATTCCCCACACAAGCTGAAATTCCCCGCATATCGGGGAATTCCCCACGAGTTGGCTTCCCTGCGTGGGATCAACCTTCTAAGCAACGGCTATAAAGACTTATTGAGCCAAATTATGTGAAAGGCTAAATCACACAGCCAAAAAACTGATTAGGCCTTATTAGTACAACTTTTGGCCTGGCATTCTCTTACAGTAGTTATTAGTAGCATTACATTTCATCAGCTGTTAGCTGACGTGCTTTTCATTTAAGTCTGTAGTACGGACTCTGTACTCACTGAATACTAAAGAGCTGGTTTAGACGACGCCGTTTTTGTGCTTAGCTCAGTTCGAATATGCATTGCATCTGCCATTTGAATTACAGATAACCTCAAGACCCTGTGTTTAGTGCACTAAACGACACGATTCGCTTGTAAAGAGTGCACAAGTGTTTCAACTCAACTGGTTTGCGCCGGTTTTGCGTTGATCGTATACGACAATTGGTTATTTTCATTTATTAACTGATAAGAAACACTCAATTATATTGACTTACATGAGCTGTTTGCTAGCTTTCTATTATTCAATTTATTGATAATTGCATTAATCCAGAGTATACTTTGTCATATTTGACTGGCACTGATACGAGTGTGACAAACTGGTTTGAGCCGGTGTGCTTATAATTTCAAACCGGTTTTCTTGAAGATTGTCGTTAATGGAACAAAAGTTCAAAGGATTAAATTAAGCAATTGATAATTTATTTTATTTTCCTAAGTAGGTAGGATTTGGTTTTAAATTTTTGATGCCAAGTAGTCAAAACAACAGCGATTAAAAAATGTTGTGAAACTAACCGAAAAAAAAAATAATAATCTGAGATGCTGCAAAGTCATTCAATATTTTTCATTTATTTTTATTTATTTGTCGGTGCTTTCAACACACGATGAAAAAGATTAGATTAACATGCGTGATTATAAAAGATATAATAAATACACAAATTTTTTGCGGAATACGCAAATTGTTTTATGGATTATAGGTAATCTCCGCGCTGACGGAAATCTCATTGACCACTTCATCGTCATCGCCAATAACTTCCAGACTACACTCAATCAAATCAAAATCATCTACCTTGGCCGCTTGAATTTGTGCATTCAAACTCGCGCTAGTATCCTCATTGAACTGCTTTAAGATTGGAGACTTGAGCAAGCTTTCAAATGTGCTTGCCTTGCCTGCGTGGGTGTGCGAATTTTTAAAGCTGGAATTCGAATTTGGAGATTCATTTTGGCGGGATGAAAGTTTTGAAAAGGTCTCGCGCAAGCTTGCAGCTTCAGTCACCTTCAGCACTTCAGCTTTGTATGAACTGTGAGCAGCACTGGCTGCTGGGAAATCTGTATACTCGTCTGAAGGATTTGTCAACGCTGGCGTAGCATTATGAGAACCATCAACTTCTACCCCAACCTTATCGCTATCAGCAACTTCTAAAGCTGCAACAGCTTTACTGCCTACTGCTGGAAAATCCTTATACTCCTCTGACACATCTTGAAATTTCACGTCATCCATTGTTTCCTTCTCATCGGCGTTAGTTTGTATTTGTAGATCGAATTGATCTAAATAATTCGTGATTTCCTTTTCAAGGTTTTCGAGTTGCTTTACGTTTTCTTTGCTAATATCCGCGAAATCTGGCTCGTCAATGTTATCTTGCTCCGTCTCGGCGATATCCTCCCATTTGTTTTCCAATTCCGGTGCTTTAGCTTTTGTGTACTCACTGTGCTTGCGTTCAGGCTTAAACTCCTTAGCAACCGTCTTGCCTGCTGCTTCGCACTCTTTTTTTTCGACCGCTTGCAATCTCTTCTTTTGAAATATGTCACCCACCTGTAGCCGAAACTTGTCACAACTACTTTCGACGTCTCCAACACCGCCAACCCCAACCCCTTTTTTCTCCTTCAATTCATCCTTTTTTAGCGCTTCCGTTACAATTTTTACCAGCTGTTCTTCTCGCATTGGCGCATCGACAAACTCCTCCTCGTCTTCTTTGCCAAAGTTTAGCATCTTTTCATATTCCACAACTCCACGCGCTGTTTCCTCAGTAATGCCATATTCCTCGTAATTACTACCATCGAATTTGAGCACACTTACTGCCACATCTCTGAGACTCTCACACTTCTGAAGTAGCTTTTCAGCAGTATCTTTCTTGTGCTTTTCCTTTTCTTGTTCTTGTACCAGTTTATCATCACTTAACTCATTATACTCTTCGCTGTGCTCCTGCCACAACTCTTCGCTCTCATCTTCTGCCGGCAATACATCATCGTAGCTGGTATCTATTTCTTTGAATTCATCCTTGTCGCCTTCCTGTGTGTATGCTATACCTCCTCTGCCCAATTCGAGTGGATCCCTAAAAAGTCCACATTCATGCGGTTCATCCGCCTTCAGCTCCATGCGTTCTTTCGTTTGCTTGGTAAACAAAACAGTCAACTCAGGTTCAGCGTCGTCGACGCGCATTTTCGGTGTCTTTGCACCAAGATCGTAATCGTCTAGCATATCCCTGAAAATGCCTGGTATTGGGTACTCTGCATCCAGCTGCTTGATATTTATAAAATTGCCGGGGTTTTCCCCATCAACTCCACTGCTCTGACTGTTTTCATCACTGGTCAGCTCGATAATTTTCATTTTCTGCTTCGAAAGCGTCGGCTTCGCATTCTGCTCACGTGTCTTTGCATCCGCATGTCTACTTCCCGGTTTTTCCTTTTCCTTCTCCTTTGTTCGCTGCACCATCTTTTGCAGTAGCTCATTCTCTTCAACGGTCAATGGATCCTTCGTTTGTTTAGCCTCCGTCTCTTTTTGCTCAGCAAGTCCCAACATTTTCTGCAGCAGAAAATTTTCATCATCTGTCAAATTCAGCTCCTCCTTATTCCCCTTCATAATCTGTTTCAGTTCCGTATAGCTGCGCGCACATTCAACCAACTCGCTCTCATTTGCTTGCTGAAGTTCCGCCTTCTCAAAGTCCATTTTGTCAATAAAATCCTCATCTAAATCACGAAAAACTGTCGGTTTCGCTGCCTCCAGTGAATAGAATTGTTCGTTTTCCTCTTCATCCGCCGCATCACATGCGGCATCCTCTTTCTCCTTCCACTCGTTTGCTTTCTGTATCAATTGCATAGCTGGTATGCGTTCTGTTGGCCTGTAAGGCAACCTGAATGTACCAGCACTCTCCGCTTGGCGCACTCTCGCGTCCCACAATTGCATCATTTTTGTACCCAATTCACCATCTGCAACGATTTCTCTTGGTTTGTAATGCAACTTGGCTGCAACGCCGATCTCTACGCGGCCCGCTTTTCCAGTGTCTTGCTCATCATCCGACTGTGCCGACTCGTATTGGTCTGTGTCCTCACTATCGCTGTAATTAAATTTGCTTGACGGTAAATCCTCTATCTTGCCGGTATCCTTCTTCACCACCACCAACTTGCCATCCACTACCTCCAGAGTATCGTTGTACTTATCTTTTTGCGCATACACGCGATCCACAAGCTTCCTAACACGCTTACTTTCACGCTTCTTCTCCTCTGCGATTTTCTGATCTAACAACTCACTGGTGTCGCCATTAAAATTGCGCAAGTTTGGTGATTTCAAAAGATTTTCTAGACTCTCAGCCTTTTGTGCGTCGGTGGATGCGTATTTTTGGTGAATCGCCTCTTTATACTCGTGCTCTTTACGTTCTTCCTCGGCCTTGTTCTTGCGTGATATTTCCTGGAGTAATTCATTGAATGAGCTCAGTACATCACGTATGCTGCGCACTGGAGGCTCTGGCGGTTTGGGTGGATCTGAGTAACAGTATTCTTCATCAGATTCAATTTCACCAAACTGGTAGCTTTTAGGCTCCGCCCATTGGTCATCGGCTCTTTGATCCACTAAAATCAACTCATCCAGCAGGTCCGTAATTATTTCCTCACAAACTTTGTGCACTTGCTCGCTTTTCTCATTTTCGCGATATTTAATTTCCTCGTTTATGTCTTCTGCAAGCGCGCATCGGTAGGCGCTATTGATATTATACAGCTGCTCATTTTCATTCTCAAGCCTTTGTAATAGCTGACGCAATTCTCGTTCCTCACTTTCGAAAGTAGCCAAAGCCTTCTCCGGGGGTTTGCTGAAATTTAGGGTATCTGCGGGTACAATCTTCTCAATTTTCATATCGACTCCATTACTACAATCATCGAATAACGTCTCAATTACCGGAGCTGACAAATCAGCGTGATCACCAGGCACGTCGTTGCGCAATGCATCTGCATTAGGGCCGATACTTGTCAGCACATTCACTTTCTCAAGACTGCTGGCCGCGGTTGGCACATCGGCACCACTGCTATTACCTTCTTCTTGCTGCTTTTCACATTTTTCCATATCCGATATCGTTGTCATCTTGGTTGCCACATCGCTATCCACTCGTGCCACATGTTCCAATACGGCAGCCAAATATAACTCCGGTGTGGGTTCTCGGTGTAGCACATCCAGCCTTGCACCATATTCTTCCAATTCTGTATAAGTAGTTTCAGTACTCTCAGTTTCAAATGTGTTATCCAAAATGCTTTCGTTTTGCTCTCTTTGAACACCCAACGCTTCCTGGTCTTTCTGCATTTCTTCAATAAAGTTGTCCATTTGCGAAGAGAGTTCTTCAAAATCAGCCACCACTTTCTCGTTCACCTCCGCGCATTCTAGCTCGTATTTCATTTGCTCAACGGTTTTTGGTTTAAACAACACAATATCATCAGATTCCTCACAAGTTTCTTCAACAACCTTTTCACGCGTTTCCGTTTCTATAATGTCGTAGTTACGCGCCAATCGGTCCTGCTCCGTTTCCATTACGTCCAAACTCTCTTCGTCTACCTCAATTTGTAACTTGATGCGTTTCTTAGGCGAGGGTTTGGAAAGATCATGCATAGTGATCTGACCAATCGCATCGACGGTTGCATTATACTCATCTTTCGCAGCGTCATCTGAATCGGAAAGATTAGTTACGGACAAACGCTTATCAAGTTCGGTCGATTTTTGAGCAAAAGTCGGTAAAGTCGCTTTTTCTAGCAGACGCTCGATTACGCCACTTGTGATTTCAGCAGCATTCTCTTCATTCGCCACCTCAATCTCTGGCCACTCTTCAATAAGTACCCTCTTCTGCCCAACAGTGACATCACTTCGCTTTCTCTCGGCTACCTTGTTAGCGTTTGTCTCAAACCCTTCCTTTGCACTCACATCAACCAGCTTCAAAATGCTTCCAAAATTACCATCTGTTGCTATAGCTAAGGCTTGAGACTTTGTAACTGGCGAATCGTTCGCAACTTTCTCTTCATTGTCCAAATTGGGTTGCAACCCAATGGATTTCGAGTCAGCGGAAATATTTGCATTCGAATCGGTGGTACTGAGCCCCGATGTTGATGAGCTAACGTTCATGTCAAAAGAGGTTTGCGATTTGCTGTCCTCATTCACGACCTCCTCCCAGATGCCCAGTTCCATATTTATGCCAGCGTCTACTTCCGCTTGACGTGCGCGTTTCACTTCGGCGCAATCTTCCTCTGAATCGGAGGAGTTGAATAGTGGATCTTGCTGATCTGCTGGCCGATGCTTGTTTCGCATGCGAATTGTGGCTGAGAAAGAGAGAAGATATATAATACTTTTAAAGCTTTGATGTTTTGAGCAAAAAATTATTTTATGTATCTCATAAAAAACACAAATGGATAAGTCTGTGTGCAGAGATGAATCTTGAGCGAAAACATTGCAGCTTAAGGACACGGCACAAAGCCCTTAGCTCCAATAAAATATAGGACTCATTAGTTTCCGAGTGCATAGAGAAAATAACCGCCTCGAAAAGACAAGGAAGTAAATGAGGCTCGGCAGGACGGCTGCAGCAACTACATGCACCGACAGAACCGACGACCTTTTTTCAATCAAAGAAAAAAGAACAGAGAAGAACAGAGCTACTGGGCCGTATGAATAAAAAAAGGCAATTGCTTTTCCTTAAAATTTCAAACCTTTTACTCGATTTATTCAAACAAAATTAAGTAAAAGGTATGCAATTTTAACAAAAAGCAGTTGCTGAGTTCTTATTCATACGGCCCATTGTCGTCAACCGCTCTAAGAATAAAATAATAAATTTAACGGATACTTTACCAGATCATTGCAAATAAAGAAGTCATCTGCTCAAATTCGGAAGCCAATTAAATGGTTTGCGCCGCTTTGCTACACTGCTTTTGAGAGTTTTGGGCAAGCCCGGGACCTAGGCACATACCAAAGCTATCAATGTATTTCCATCTATCATCCTAGAGATTTTATGTTCCCTCCACTCTTCAAAGCTTAGTACCACAGAAAACTTTAAAGGGTTTTGGGGGCAGGAGCAGGCAAAAGCTTAAACTCTCCTCAAATTTCTTCACACTACAATGCTGCCGACTCTCTTAACGGTACTTAATTCGTGCACAGATTGATTGCTGTAAAAATGCTGAGAGAATTTGCATTGACAACTTTAATCTCTGGAATTTTTTCGAGCTGCCCGCATAGAGCACCCTCCTGGAGGTGTCTATGTAAGATAAAGTTACTCCATTCTATTTAGATTTTTCTACCGAATACTACGATATTGCTTATGTAGTAGGTGTAATGGGAGCTAAGATCCTAGCTTCTGTATGTTCGTAGATCATTTGACCTTTTTTTTTGCCAAACCCTTCTTTAGGAAATCTCATTAGTGTTCGATTAACTATGGGCTCTAGGATTGGATAAAGTGGCTCCAGCTCTAGACGTACTCCAGCGCCATGGAGGCATTGCTTCTGCATTACATATCGCACACGATCTTCAAAAATGATGCAACTCAAAATTACACGTTCGTCAAAAAATGCGAAAAACTATTTCGTAGCACATGCTAATCATATGGGAAAATTTTGAACGAGCGAGTACCTAAATGTGGGTAGAGGGCTTCCGATTATAATGTGCAATGCACTCTGTTTCTTTGGACTACAACCCACCCTTCACACAAGGCGTTTTCACGCTTTCAAAGCTCTCGTTACGGCCGAGTCTACACGACTCTTCCATAAAAGTTTAGCAACCAGTACCAGTCTCAGATACTCCACCTCTCTGGAAATTTGAATCGCACACTTGAGCGGGCTCTTGTTATAAAAAAAAAATATGAAGTCCGCATCAGATGAGATGAGCGACACATCCCTTTGTCAAGTTCAATCCTTTTTGTATTAGGTTCGATGTACGCAAGCTTTTTTTAAGAAACGTTAACATTGCAGGGGGTAGTTACTGTTTGACAGGTGACGTGTTGCCCAAGGCTGTCGCTAATTCGAGGAACGCTTCAAGTCCCGTGGAGTGACTAGGATACATGATGAACAATCTTCTTCATTGCCTTCGGTATAAAAAAGCTTGGAAATATCCGGCTCAAAGATTTTTAGTTCTTGTTGTTTTTTTTTTTGTTTTTTTTTTCCAAATTTTCGAATGAACACCATTCGTGCCCTTCTTCACACTTTTGGAGCACAACCACGAGAGTAACTGTATCTCATGTACGTCTCGCTGTCGTGACTACAATTCTCAACTGACTTCTGAAATATTTCATTGATTTATTTTGGTCATTCGCATTTTAAAACAACTATTCCTTCTGTACTGTAACTCTTTTCGAAGTTAGCTCTAAGTTAGCGTGGGGCTAGGAGAGCATCGGAGAAACCGAAAAGGGAAGGTTTGGAAAAACGCGGAACTCTAAAAGTATTTTTGATAGACGGTATTAAATCTCATTAACATGACAATTCTGGAAGTTCTAGAACTATTCTGTTGGTATTTTGGCTATAAGTTTTCTAAAAATTTATCAAATGAGAAAATAAACATACATATATATGTATATAGATACATATATTTTCCTTTTTTATACAATAACAATTAAAAATTAAAAGAAAGTTAAATTAAAAAGCGAAAGAAGCTAAATCGCAAATAAAAATCTTATGGTGAATTCGTTTCTTCCAAAAAAATGTCCTTCCCCGGTGGAAAATGTGTTTGATGTTACACTCAACCCTGTAAAAGGTATGTTTTTCCTTCTTGTCGTTGTCTTGCTCACGCATTTCAAGCAACCATCTGATGTTCAGGGCAACCATCTCCCCTGACAAAGCTTCACAAGGCAGAGAATGTGCCTTTTTTGCCTTACAAAAGTGTGACATTTTAAGAAACGAACACACAATTTTCTCACTCTTTGCTTTTAATTTAGAATCGAACACGAAAAAAGAAAGGGGCAATAAAGAAAACTCTTTAAACCTATTTTATTTTTTATGATAAAAGCTTAAAATCCAGCTCTCAAGAAAAATCATAAGAAATATTTTTAATTGTGGTTTTTCACACTTGCCTGGTTATCAGATTATCTGGTTATGTGGTTATATTTTTTATTCAGTTTACAACAATTAAATGCACTTCAGAATAATAATTTTTTACAAGATAACCTGATTACCAGGCAAGTGTGAACAACCACAATGTTGCTCGAAAAAACACTTTGCTTTTGCCCTAAATTTTCTTGAAGAAACAAATATGAGAGCATTTTTTTCTTAAAAGCTGCAAACTGATTTAAGAAGTTTTAATAGAAGAAGATTTCTTTTCCATTTCTTGTGCGTGATTTTATATGAATTTTTTGTTTTTCTTGAGAGTTGGAAACAGCGCTTAGGGCCATAAAAATTTCAAGAAATTTCAAATTGAAAAAAGAAAAAATTTAATTAAGAAAAATTTAAAATTACCTAACATACATAAGTTTCCAAAAATAATAATATTTAAAAGCATAAACAACAAAATCTTAAAATTAAAATTAAAATGGCGGAGTGTACAAAGCACATTAGTGCCCATCGAGAAATCCAAGGTCGAGTTCTCGGAGCGGGATTTTTTATTTAGTTTTTTTCTAGTTTTATTTAATTTTCTTATAATTTTTTAATTTGTGTTTTAAAAAGAAAAATATATATTTTGTAATGTCCTTTAATTTTCACCAACTTGTTTTCTGTATTTTGTTTTCTTTTTCAACTGAATTTATTTTCTTTCTTAATTTAGTTTTTAGATGTTATTCTTTTAATTAGAATATTTGTTTTAATTTCCGATTTTGATGATTCTTTTTTATCGGAAATGTGTTACCTCAAGGATGGTCCCAGAATAATATGGTTTAGATCCGATCATTGAGTCATGAAAAAATTAACGATACTATTAAATTTTTATATGGGAATTGAAGTCAGTTTTCTTGCCTGCTTGCCTTACTTGCTTAATTTAATTTCTTTTTTTAGTTTTTAGATGTTATTGTTTAAAATACAGAAATATTTTTGTTTTTTTTTTTTCATTTCATATTTAGAAACTTATTTTGTGTATCTTTTCTTTTGAATTTAATTTTGTTTTGATTCTTAGATGTTATTCTTTAAAAAAATATCTCTTTATTTCATTTTATTCTTTAGAAACTTGTATTATTTTTTCCCTTTAAAATTAATTTTTTTTTTCTTTATTTTAATTTTCTTGAAATTTTTAGATTTTATTGTTAACAAAGAGAAACGAAATTTTTTACTTTGATTCATTTTGATGATCTTATTTTTTTTTTTAATTTAATTTCCTTCCAGTTTTGAAATTATTTGTTAAAAAGCAAAATATTTTTTTTTGTTTTACAGTACTATTTTTTTATTGAAAATTTTTCTTCTTTTAATTTTGTTTATTTTTTTAATTTTTTCTTTCATTAATTAGTTTTTATTGTTTTAGTTTTTATTGTACCTTTTTTTAAATTGAATTTATCTTTTAAAAAACGTATGTCTAAAAGGCGAACAGCATAACGCTACGATCAACTCGATCGCAGATCTTTCAATTAGTCATTCGAAAGACGGTATAGAGCTTTCAAAACTTTTGTCTTTTGAAAGACTGTGGTGAGTTTAAAAACATTTGCCAGAATTGAGCTATATATATCTTTCCTACTGTCTTTCTTCTTACAAGAGACTTAAAATTTTCTATGCCAAAATTGCCCTGTTATATGAAGTTCAGAAAAGCAAAGCACGGGGAATTTCTGGCGCCCAGGAAAGGAGACTTCGAAAACTGGGGGAACATTTTTAGTTTTACCAATTTTAATTCGTCACAAAATCGCCCTAATATGATAAGGTATTCGGCTCAAACCAACTTTGTAATCAGTTTAGGGTACGAGCAAGAGAGTCCTCAACAGTTTTTTTTTTATAAAATATTGCTTTTTATGTGCCCTGAAAATGGCTGCATATACCTACCATTAACACTATCGCGTATCTTCTTACGTTCCATGCGTTTCCAGCGTTCGTTTTCCTTACGCTCGCCTTCGTAACCATCACGTTTCCTGGAAAATTTCGAGAACAATATATTTTTACTCGGCAGTGCCAAGCATGCAGGCGACTTACCAAGCCTCTGCACAAGCGCGGTCCTTGGGAAATACAGGGCGACTGTCGAGGTAGGTTAATTCTTGCTAAAACGAAAAACAAGCGTGAACATTCGCAAAAAATTAATTACATACTCAATAAGGCTCATGTAATACTAACGCATTCCAATATCAGTGTCTTTCGATACTGCGGTACTTTAGACACCACCGGATTGCCTTGCAGCACTAACACGCGCAATTGTGGCATTTTAGCAAAAATCTGGAGATTAAAAAAAGCGTATTTTTTAAGTCGATTTCAGCACAGTATATTTAACTCTTTCACTCTGTTTCGCTACTCACCTTCACCACCAATATATCATCGATACGATTATTCGACAAATCCAATACTGAAAGTGACTTACAATTCTCCAAATCTTTGAGACCGTCAAAGTCTTTCAAATAGTTAGAGGATAAATTCAATGTACTCAAAACTGGCAGCACATCCACGCCGCAATTTTCGATTTTTCGGATATGATTCGATGCTAGATTGAGCGTATCCAATTGCGGACAATGCTCCAAATTTTCGATACGTTTTATTAAATTGCTCTGCAAGAAGAGACACTTGAGTTCTTTTTGATGCTCGAGTCCCTGTATCTCAGAGATCGCGTTACACTCCAGCCAAAGACATTTAAGGCCGGTGTACTCCTCCAAGCACTCAATGCAATGGATGCCTATGTAAGTAAATAAAGAATAATTAAAGCGGGGAGTCGACGCCAAACCCATCCCTTTTGCCACTGACCTTGATAGTGTAGATAAAGCACATCATTAAGCGCAGGCGTCTGATAAAGCTTATCTTTTTTGCAGAGCTCCTTTAGGCGCTTCTTAGTGATGCGCGTTAAACCGGTGACTTCCTTTAGTTCATTATTGTTGTTTTTATTGCTGTGACATGATTCGGTGCTATGGTCACCGCCGACGTGGTAGCGTTCCATTCCGGTTGTCCTAAAGCGATTTTTCGCTTTGAGGTGCAACTAGTTGAACGCTTTAGCTATTTGAATAATGTCTTTTTATTAGTTAGGTTTATTACTCGTCTTTTTTTAATATTCTCTTTTTTCTTTTATGTAAGAACCAATATTAGTTTTTAAATTTTTTTCTTTTTTCAAATTTTGACGTTAATAAAAATTCACTTTGAGTTTTCGTTCAAATTATATACATATATAAAAGCGTGATTATTGATCACACAAAGTTGTTGTTGGCAACAGTTGCTCGGCACTGGTATAATCTGAAGTGTGGTAGAAAACTCTCAGCACAATTTTGGCCATAAAAAAGCGTAAGTAAGTTTGTGCTGTTTGGGGGGCGGTATACCAACGATGACCATCCGTACTTTATTTCAGTTGATAGTACAGTCCTTTTAATTTGTCATTTCAAAACTTGTCCTTTGAATTTACTTGTTTTCGATACGATATTAGCTTTAATGCAGTTCATTTAAAACAGCAGATGCAAATTTTGAAGAAAGAGCAGAGAATAAAAAAAAGTTGTAGAGCTTATCCGTGTCGTTTACCTTGTCGCGGCGAATGCATTTACCATTCTAATTGAATATGGTAAAAAATATGTAGTGAAAAAGGTTAAGTTTCGTTGACCGCCACTCAGTATAGGGAATGCGTAGAGCGTCACACTTCAGGCAAAAGCCCTATTGTGTTATACTAGCATGACCGGATGTGTACCCCATCTAAATAGTACCTCGCATACTACACATTAGTGATAGAAGTTGCGTTCGACAAGTCAAAAATTTGTAATAATTTTTCCAAATTTTTTGTAAACAAACAAAACTGCATTTTTCGAGTTTTGGTATTTATATGCTTTCTGGCTGCCTGCTATGTGAATTTATGATAGCGCCAACTAGTTTTTACTTCTAGAAATGTTCCTGGCGAACATTGAACGATCACTTTCCTTTTTTCTTCCATGGAGCCAACATGAATTTCAGTTTGTTTACAAATAAAACATAAACAAAGTCAGCTGGTGTGTCTTCTTCTTCCGGTTTTTGCAAGTGATGGCTAATTTCCTGTTCGTTTACTTTTTTGCTTTTTCTTCTCTTTGGGAGAGAATTTTCGCTTACTCTCTTCATTTTGATTGTTGGCTGGTGTTGGCTAATTTTGTTATCGAACGCAACTATAGTTAATAAACCAATTTTCACATGTTTTGCCAACTATTCTATAATGCTGGATCATACCCAAAATATATTTAACTAAGTGTGATTGAATGTGACATTGCGCTCATAATAACCATCCTATAAAGTCAAATGCAAGGCAAATTAATATAAGGTGATAGCAGGAGTACAAAAATAAAAATTTACATGTATTTTGTTTTTGCTTTGGCGGCATAAACTGTCAAAATCTGTAAGAGTGTGTGTAGAAATTCAAACAAAATTTTTCAATTTGATATAAGTAGCCCGTTTCTGTAACTTTTCTCTACCGATTATTTCTCTACTGGTAGAGAAAATACGTCACTCTCACCTGCTAATTAGCAGTAGAGAACAGGGCGGCGAATTCATATCTCAATTCGCCTTGGTAGAGAATTGTTACAGAAACGAGCTACAGAAGCCGTGCGGCGAAACACATACACAAAATCAGCTGAACTAGTAACACCACCTTATATAAATTCGCCTTGGTTAAATGGAAAAAAAATTTTATGAATTTTGAATCGTTTGTTTATATTTTTTGGCATCATAGTGCCTTAAAAAAGAGCCACACTGAGTTGCCAATCACACCTTGTTTAATACGCCTCGATCCTACTTTCCTTAAGAAAAATTCTTTGTAAAAATAGACAAATAGTTGTTTTATTATAAACTTAGTTGAGCGAATAAATGCGACCTATGTATGTATGTTCATATGTATACAGATCTATTGTGGTGACCATATAAAAGTTCACTCCAACTCTAGAGCACTTGTAAAATTAAACGTTTTAGAGGGTGGCATGTCTCAGATTCTGGACGGGGGTGATAATCGCTCTCCGACGTACATATAAGAGTCTTAGACCTGCATATGATACGTGAGAAATCGCATAATATATTCCAGTCACAGACTGTGAAAGTGCTCAGGCCTTCCGGACTAAAATTCATAAGTCGTTCCTGAGGAGGAGTTATGGGTTTCTAGAGTGCCTTATCTCTCCGCCATTCGGTGGCAGCATGTGATCCTCCCAATAGCCTAGTAGCTCTGCTGTGTAGGTTCCGTTGCATCCCACGCATTGCGTGAACGTCAACTCATTCATTGCCAACAAAGCCCATTGCCAAACTTACCCTTAATTGAACAATCAATAGACTCTTTCACACAAGCCTTAATGCTTCCTGACTGTCAGAAGTGATATATATGCTGGCCCCATTTCTCTTTCTACGAATACTTTCATTATTTCTGTTGAACCTTTTATTAAATTAAATTTAAATTTACTTTAGATACCTCCCCTCTTGCGATAACTAAATCTTCGAGATTTCCACTTGGGTTTAAGCCACGTTGACTTTTCTTCTTTTGTTGAAGTTGACGATGGTGGACTTTAGTGCAATTATTGGTAGAACCTCTTCAGAGCATCATTTCTCAATCAGTTTTATGGCTGTTTACAATCTAGAGGCAATGTTGCAGCCACCACATAGATGAACAGCTTATCCGCATAGCGAAAAGCGTTGCCTGTTAAACTTTCCAGGAGCTCTTGCCTACTGTCTCCTAATTCCTGCTGCCTTATTATAGTAATTACATGAAAAATATGCTTTCTTGCCATGGCCTTGGATTTTGCTTCGTATGATGTCAAGGACCGCTCAAATGGCTATTTGGTTATACTGCAATGCTTTTCAATTACCTGTGTGAGATTAATAAATAGGTATATGATGTCAGTAACAATTATATCGTTTCACCAGATTTCAAAAATGTGCCAAATCTGAAATTTTTGTACCAAACTAAAAAAAAACTTGCCAAAAATTGTACATTTCGGCCAAAATGACAACTGTGCTTGCCATGTAGAGGATCAGAAACCGGCTTTGAGTACTAATAAAATTGGTGTACTTATTCATGATCCATAACAATTGGTGCCAATGAGTACTGATACTAATACCAAAAAGTGCTATGAGTAATTCCAACCAAAACAAAAAGATGCCAGTCGTCGGGCGTGACCATATTCTGTATAAGAGTTGATGCATGCACCTTATCAACTCCTCGCCGCCGTACTTGAATAGCTCCGCTGGCAAGCTGTCAGCTTCAGCAGATTTATTGCTTTTCAAGCGTGCTATTGTTATTCGTACCTCGTCATAGTCAGGTTACTCCGTCAACATCTACTGCTACCATTCAGAAGGGTGGAAAAGTGTTCCCCCCATTATTTGAGTACGTTCTGGGCATCAGTCACAAGGTCGCCATTGTTGTTCTTACAAGAGTTCGCCCTGGTCTTAAAACATTCCTTGAAGTCGACTAACTCTCAGGTAAAATTTTCGGGCGTCTTTCTTGTCGGCCAGCTGCCTATAACTGCCAACATGGCTCGCGTTGTGCCCCATCGCAGCATGGCCCTGTAGACGGCATCTTTTTTCTCTGCAGCTTCGTGACACCCCTCATCGTACCAGTTGTTCTTTCGGGCTTGCTGAAATTCGACTACATCTTCGGCGGCGGTACTTAATGAACGGGAAATGTCGTTCCACTGCTCGAATATGTCGGTTTGTTGAAAAGTGCTCTCTAATAGCAGGTGTGAGAGTCGAGTAGCGAATTCTTTGACCGTCTGTGGTGATGGCAACTTGTCGACGTTAAGCTTTCCTTGCATTATTGCGCGCACACTTTTTACTGCACAGAGGCGGATGCTATATTGGCTGCAACAGGAAAGCGGTCCGAGTCGATGTTTGGCCCTCGGAGGGTACGTACGCCTAAAACACTGGAAGCATGCCTTTTGTCTATCGCAACATGATCGATTTGGAGTAATGAAAAGAAGTACTGGCTACGTCTAGTAATAATGCCTTATCTAGATTCACTAACGGCTTCTTTACAACTACACTTTTCCAATAAAAAATACTCCATCTCCAGCAGTGAAGAGGTACAAAAGAACGCGAAACATTTTGAACAAATCTATAATCTCAATGTTCAAGTGACATTGTTCAGCGACAGATAATTGTGTTTGCATTTTGAGTGTTTTTTTTTTTCATGCACAACAGCGACTGTGGAGCGATCGTTTAATACACTTCGTAGAGCAAAAACCTGACTGAAAACCCCAACAGGAGAACAAAGGCTTTCTGGATCATGGCTCATGTGCGTCCATAGAAAACTCATTACCGAAAACCGCGAGGTGATTCAGGAGGAAATAATCAAAAAGTTTGCTGAAAATCGGAGACGTTTGTTATTAGCGTAAAAATTATTAAATATAAAATAAAAATTTTTTAAGATACAAGCATACTTACTTTGCGTTTTGAGTTTTTGGCACTGCTGCTAGAATAGCAACCTTCGGCGAGATATAAATCTGGGTCATTCCGGTACGTAGACCTCATAGTGTATACTATGTATGAACATGAGCGAACATTAAAAATCTGTAGACTCGTAGTTCGGACTTATTCGCTGAAGGGAGCAGCGTTAATAGCTCTCGAACCGACTGAATTTTGTAGACAGGGTCATTATACTTGGTCTGGTTGGATAAGAGACTTAGGGCCAGTTTTTCAGTGCACGGCTGTGTTTTAAACTAGGATTAGCCAATCAAATGCCAGACAGCAGTTCAAGATAAACTCAGTTCACGTGTTCTAAGTTTAAACTTACTCTGAAAGTTGAGGTCGTTAGTAAGGCAGTTGGCGATAATAAAGTTGGCCAGTTTGCACAAAAAGATAAGTATGTACAGGCAGTCCAATCATTGGCGAATTTTTTCTATAACGTTTATCAAAACACCACAAGCCACTGGGCATACATTTGGGTAGGGCTCACGGCAGCCGGGTTGTTGTTTTTGTTTTAGCGGCATTACTTAACCCCTCCTATTTCGGTTCATACAACTAACGGTAGGCCCAAGAAACGGGCAGTTTCAACAGGGTCAAACCAAAAAGAGATGAGTGTGAGCTGGC